GTGCCACTGTTAAGTTTAATGGCTCTCTGGTTGTCTATCCCTGTTTGGACTGAAATGGCTCTACTTTTAAACTGAATTCTTTCCTGTCCTTGGAGAATAGAGAAGTTGTAATTAGGAGGAGAAAAAAAGAGACCCTTAGAACCAGTATGAAGGAAGGAGATACAGACAAAAGAGGCTTCTGTAAAAATTATGAAGCAAAGAAAAATAGCAGGTTTGTTCCTTTTATCATAAGGTTGTCTTAGAAAAAGCTGAAGGCAGGATTGAATGGCTGGGCTCTACTTTCTGCACTTGCAGCATCGCTCTGAGGGCTGATCTTGCCCTTCATAGAATCACAGACTGCTTTGGGTTGGAAGGGACCTTAAAGAAAGCTCATCTTGTTCCACCCCCCTGCCATGCACAAGGACACCTTCCACTAGACCAGGCTGCTCAGAGCTCCATCATCTGCAGCTTTTCTTCCTCTGTAGTCCTGGTGCTGGACAATTCCTGTGCTTAGGGGAAAGTTTTCACGTGTTTTTAGTGAGTGTGGAAATCACACTCTGCTCGTAACGCCCTCGGCTCGAGCATCACACACCCCACCTGAGTCACCCACAGTACATGCACAGACCAGGGAGGGCTCTGACAGCACATCTTATGTACTGGCCTTTGTCCAAACGTGCTTTTTGGAGGTGGGAAAGGCGTAAGTGTAAATTGTTTACAGCCCGAATCCCGAGGGATGAAGATAGCGTAAACACTGGCTTTTCGGGGGGTTTCAGAGAACAATGCCTCGAAAGTGAAGCTAAATTACCACTACTCCTGTTCAAATCTTTTTTTCTCCCTGTGTCACAAGCTGCCCTTGTGATGCAGAGCCATGACGCTGCCTGTCTGTAGGGGATGGGTGGGTTTCCTGCATCAGAGAGACAACAAAATTATTTCCCTCTTTTTTTGTTCCTGTCTATGCTGGAATCAACACATTGATGGGCTGTGGGAAGGATGTGCCAAGCTCCAGCACTCTTTCCATGAGTGCTGTATTGAAACCATGGGATGGAATAAAATTGCAGCTCCGGGGATATTAAAAGGGAATGCATGTCATTCTTCAATTTCATTAAAAGCCGTTAACATTGGAATGACATGGTCACTATTTATAAATCCCCGGTGCAGATGACTTGGTACAGCTGGTCTGAAGAAAAGGCTCAATGGAAGCAGGGAGTCTATTTGCATTAATGCTTGTTACGTGCTGCCCTGGCAGCAAGAGGAGAGAGTGAGGGTATGGACCATTTCAATGTCAGTGATTATGCCATGCACAAGTTCTTGTAACTCTTCAACAAATCCCAGTCGTGATTGGAAAATGAAAACACTGGTTTAGAGCAATGTTTTTGAAACATAACGTGTTGCTCTGTAAACCAGTCCTGAGCTGTTTGTACTGTCTGTAGGGGAAAAGTTGTCTTGGAAGTGAGGAATGAATGGAGAGGAATTGGGAGCAAGGAGACCAACCCTTTTTTTTTTTTTTTTTTTTAACCTGTGAAAAATACTCAAAGATCTTTGCTGTGCAGAGGGATTAATCAGGAGTATGTGATGGGTCTCCTGCAGACCCAATGACGGGGTGTGTTCCCACCTCAAAGCAAGAGCCACGTGGTGGCCTTGAGAGACCATCAGCACTTACGAATACAGCAGGTTTTTGGCATCTCTTGCGTTGATCTTAGGTGGTGTCTGCAGTCCCTGCTGCAGCAGTGGATGCCTGGAGCAGGGAGGAAGGGAAAGGGGTCTCTGAGACAGATCCCACTGGCACAATATCCTATAAAATTAAAATATCTCTGTGTCTGTCTTGTTGCCATGAAAATCTATATTTGAGCCATTCTGTACAGCACTGAAAACACTGAAAACAGAATCTTTCGCCTCTGATAACTGCAGGTGCTCTCATTACAGAAAAAGGTGCCCTGACACACGTGCTGTGGAGCTGTTCTTGGTCAGGCTGTGGAAAAAGGGAATGCACAAAGAAGGTGGTGTGTGACAGAACAGCAAAGCCACTGTTGAGGTCCTTGGCTATTGGCCTCCTAAGCTGGGCTAACTTGCAGTGAGGACAGCACACTTGATTTGATGCATCAGAAGTTGGTATTGGGCTTCAGACCTCCCCAAAGTAACAGCCATTGAGAAAAAATAGTTTAGCATTGTCAATCTCTGGAACTTGGACTCCATTTCAGTATGAATTCAGTAAACCTAAGCAGAATGCAGTCACCCCGGAGAACATGAGGGGTTTTGTTCACATCTCTGCTCCTCTCCTTTCATCTTTGGGTCTCCAGCTGTGTTCATTCCTCCAGACCAGTCTTTCCAGCCTGAAGTGTTGCATCTTTTAATGCTCTCTGTGTTATGGTACACATTGTCTGTTTCTAGAAAACAATAATAAATCACAAAAATAAATATTCTAATCACTGACTGACAAGCTGAGCATTTAGATTTGGAAAATATTTAGTCTTCCAACCTAGCACTCCTCAGAAACCATTTGTGGGGTTGCTTTAAAAGACATCAGCTGCTCACTTCTCATTACTCTTGATCACCTCTCAAAACTGTGCAACAGACTCTGAGTTTAGGACTAGAAGATAAAGTGAGCTGAGCAGCCCTCTGCTCTCCTCAAGTTAAACTTCACTTTCTAAAGAAGGTAACAATTTTGCAGAACCATAATACATCAAGTAAGGGGCATGGGTTTGCTCTCACGGTGTATGAACTCTTACGCATATGCAGCATATTAGTGAGGACATAGTCCAAAAATTCCCAATAAGAGCTACAGTAAGAGTGGCCGACTGATTATTTTTGACAAGATGTTTTTATCTTTAGCCAGTAGCCAAAAATTTCATCTAGTTCTGCATCCCTTACTTGATGACTCTCAAATCCATGACATCTTTCAAAGCTCTTTGGCTCGTGAGCGTGGCCTCTGGACTGACACGAGCCAGTGGACTTGGGTGTCGAGCCCGTATAACAGATTACAATAAGCTGTGCCATTTCCAAGGCTCCTCATCTGTCATGCAGCTGCTTTCATTGCTTGCACTGAAAGACTTAAGCAGGGATTATGGCATGAACCCTGCCTTTTCTCCATCCCGCTCACTCTCGCTCTGTCTCTCATTAACCAACTCTAAGAATTTGTTACTAGAGTTGCAGACTCATTGACCCAGATTCGCTAATAATACGGGGAAGAGGAGATTTTTTTCCATGCTTAATCGCTGGCTTCTGTGTATACTTAGTGCTATTTATATGCAGGAGAACTAAAAGCCTGTAATAAAGATGGAGCCAACTTTGCAGCAAAATTCCTGCATGCTGACAGTGAGAGGCACAACAGGAGAGCAACAGGGGAACGGGGAGACGGAGGCAAGCGTGGGTGGTTGTACCTTTACTTGCAGGCCCAGTAGTAGGTTTTTTGATAGCAGACTGTGCTCTACAGCCTGATCCACCAGTCCATAGTGATTTAGCTCAGAGCTCCCCACTTTGCTCTGAAAATGCTTCACCATTGAAGTCATGCACTGGCTTTCTTTGTGTCACATTTGATTTCCTTCACCACCAAAAGCAAAGTCAAGCAGAAGGTTTGGAAGTGGGCTGGGAGAATATTCCTGCCTGATCTGGGAGAGTGCTGGCTCTCCTCAGTCTTTGGGGCTCTGTGATAACTTCTAGGTCGTGGAGGATTTGCCATCAGCACTTTCCATCCTTGGAGCAGAACTTCTGTCATGTTTTATTTTCTGCTTGGAGCCAGCTGGTGGTTTCTGGGAGGGAGACATCGGTGTTTCAGCTGCACTTGCCATCTTTTGGCTCTGGTGCTGTTGTCATGAGGAGATGCTCAGATAACCAGGAGAGCTAAGGCTTGGCATTGGCTTTCCTGTCAAGGCAAACGTTCTTTTCCAGGATGTGGTTGAACTTTGATATGAGCTCCCCACTGCAAGGAAAGAGCTAAAGTTGAAAGCAGAAATGCAAGAGCTCATTTCCTGAGGACATGGTGGGAGAAAGGAGATGGAGCAGCCTGGAGTTGCTGGAGCTGCCTGTGTTTGCTGGTTTGAGAAAAAAGATCGGAACAAAAAGATTTGGCAAAATGCTGTTGGAGAAATACCTCTCTGTTTTTGTGGAGGAACACGTAGAAGCTGAGAGTAAATGTGTCATTAGCCTCTGCCTAGAAAAAAAATTGATTTTAGCATTTTTTTAAAATTCCCTGTAAAATGTTTGGTCTCAAACATTAGCCACAGAGCAAGAGGGTTTTCTCGTGAAGACAAGCAAAACTCAATTTTTGCAAGCTAAAATCAATCCCCGTTCTCTGCCAGGGATTTTTCTGAACTGTTCTCCAGTGAAAAATTATATATATCCATTAGATATTTGCATCAAGAGTCCCACCTCAGTCCCACAACACACTGTCTTCTAATGAAAAAACAACTTCTGTCTTTCCTCCTCCCCTCCTTCACAAATATTTCTTCAAAAATGTCACATTTCCTGTAATTCATAACAGGCTCTTCAGTGTCCCTTAACACCTCAATTTCTGTATCATTCCACTGCAAGTGAACCATTTTTTAACTCCCTGGAAGTTTGTTTCAGGTTAGAGGACCAGGCAGGGCGACCTTCCATCAAATCAGGGCTCTGGGCTAGTTATGCAAACCACAGGAATTTACATGGGGGATATTTATTAATTGTTGAGTTTTCCAGTGTTTGAGCCAGCAGGATATTCAGGAATGAGGCCACGTTTTTTTGTAGCAGCCTTATAGTGGATTTAGTTGCCTAACTTTACAAATTCACACTGCTGACCGTGGAATAGGCAACACCAGTGTTTCCCACAGAGCTCCCCAACACGTTTTCTGCATTAAAAAAAAAAAATGTCTAGGCAGTGCACTCAATTTTTATGTGAAAAGATATTTATCTCCTGTTCTCAGAAGATAAGATCTCTTTGGAGCAGAATCCTGTCTTGTGTTACTGTTAATGTTTGTTATCTGCAGTAACTGCCCAATATGTCTCTCCCAGCCTTCCAGTGTCCGGCTGCATCATCTCTGGCAGTCGAGATGCTGTGGGACAAGTGTGGTGAGGACCTTGCTTTGACTGGCCCACACCGGGATTGACTTCAGTCCAGGAGGGCTGTTTCTAAGCTCGCAGTCGTGCAGTGAACTTGGCCTTCTTGTCCCCACCTGGTGGGATTGTCCTATCACAAAGCAAAAGCCACCTGCCCTCTCTCTCCAGACACCTTGTTTAATGTTCAACAGGGGCGTTGCAGCAGCGCCGACCCAACTCTCTACTGTAATAGGAAAAAGTTCTCATGTTACAGATAAAGCAGCAGCCATAAAGATAAGGTGTGGGTGTGTTGGGTGGATTCCCTTTCACCTGTGCAACAAAGCTGGATAGACAGATTTCAGGCCATACTCTGCTGCCTCTCAGCCTCTCCTCTGAGCTTTTCATCCTCTCCTCTGAACCTCTCAGCCTTTCTCTGAACAGCCCAAGGAGACCATGCTGATGAGCCGTATCTGCTGCGAGCTGGGTGATGGTCCCAGTAATTTCTGTTCCCTTGACATCCTCACTGTATCCAGGACACATCCCTGTTTGGCACCAAGCTGCCCCTTGTGATCCTGTGCATCTCTTGTCATGGATTTACTTGGAGGGGGTCCTCAGGAAAGGGCTGTGGGGCACAGGGAATGTCTTTTGATGCAGACCATGGATTTACTGGAGGGGCAATGCTCTCCTCCTCCTCCTATCAGGCTGCCCTCACTGTGACTGCTGTAGCTCTGGTCTCCTTGAACGTTATTCCCTTCTCCCTCAATTTCGGGGTATTATTCCTGCCTGGCTTGTCCAGGCAAGTGAAGACAGGATTGATCTGGCTTAAGGTCACTCCCCAGCTGAGCAGCCTCCTCCATCCCACACCCTGGAGAGCACCAGCCTTGGAGAGGGCTCTTGTGCTGAATTTTGTCTGCTGCTGTCAGGGGGATTACAGTGCTGCTGCAAACCCGATGCTGTGAACAAATGGGTGAAAAAAAATGTTTATTTTTAGAACTGGAACCATGATAAATATGTGGAATTTGTCCATGGTCTGCCTGCTGTACCTTTTTGAAATGCAAAGTGCACGTCTGTTAGAATACCTCTCCAAAGGTCAGCATAACCTCCGAAATGAATGCGCTGGCCTTTTGGAAAGCAGGTGAAGCTTCAGATGTGCAGTTGAGAGCATGGGGCCCCATAACCCAAATCTGTTTCAGTGTTGTCTGACACCATAAGGATGTAGATGGAAATGCTGCCTTGCCAAAAGCGTTTCTTCTGCACGTTACAGTGAGGAGCCTTAGACCATTCTTCATCCTTCACTTCAGCTTTTTCTTCCATTTTCCTGCCTTAATTTATATGTGCTGAAGTCTCTCTTGTGTGTTTAAGGGACATGCTGTGAGCATCATGTTTGCAGTTAGTGAGACTAGGGATGAAAAATGGAAAACTCTGGAATAAAAATAAGGAAAATGTTGGATGGAACCTCAAGACATCCCTCGGGGGACTCAGTTGGTCCCATGATGATGTAGCCAGCCTGCCAACATGCTTACAGGGCTCACGGATTGAAGGGTTTGAGAACCTTATACTTTTTAATCCATTTAGCTTCCTGTGGGGTGGAGGAATAGTGTTTACTCTCTTTCAGACAGGGAAGTGAGGCAGAAAGAGAAGAGATTACTTGCTCAAAGCGTTGTAGGAATCTCACAGCTGAAAAAAAGAGTTGGCATAGCTCTTTGCTGCCTGTCAGGCACCCTTGGGTAGGGTGGCACTTCTGCCATGAGCTTGGCTGTCATTATCCCACCGACCGGCTTTTGGGTAGGAAAGCACAGTCAGGAGAGGAGAGGATTTGGAGAAATAGCAGAGGGACTGAAATGTGATCCAAACCATGGAAGCTGAACTGCAAATTCGGGCAGTTCAAAGGCACAAACATCCTGTTGAGCTTGCCTAGTCCCCGTCTGTACATAATGAGTAAAGCACATGCCCCAGCTCAGCTTCAGGCGTGTTTCAGTGGGAAAGCTCTGCCTCCCCTGCCTCGGGTTATGTCAGGCTTCATTCCCGGTGGCAACCGGCAGGTGTTCATGCGAGGAGGGGACGATGTTATAAATAAATTATCCATTCATTTCCTTAGGGGGACTTTCCTATTGTTTAGTCACAATATGCTTTCCTGTTTTTAAAAAAAAAACAAAACAAAAAGTGCCAGACCCTGGCCCCAAGTTCCTCTCTGGCAGGGTGGACCCGAAGCTGCGTTTGAAGTGGGTGCCTGTGTCATCGCTCTCCTGTCACTTGTGCTGCTGGCACTGTCACTGCTACCTCAGTCCTCTGTGCCTTCTGAAAGTGGTGTGAGAAGAACCTGCCCTGGAGCAGTGCTGGAGAAGTCACGTCCTGCCGTGCTCCGTCTTTACACGTGTCTTTTCTCCTGCAGGTCGATGTGGGAGGAAGGCTGGTGCTGCACTGGGAGTGGAAAGCAGGGTATTCTTGGGATAGTGGAGAGGAGAACAAAAGCTCTCTTCCCTCTTTCCACCTCCTGGCCAACGCAGGGACATTGAGGCCAGGGCACTTGCTTTCACAGGTTGGGGTGGGGGGGTCTTCTCTTCTCCCCGTCTTCCCCAGGACTCTGCCTTCATGGCCCTGCCATGGAAACGGCAACCCCCTCCCACTGTGTAAGAGCAAGGATGTATTTATTTACACCAGTGTAGGACAGGATTAACCATTACCTGGTGCTACACAGCACAGAAGGAAAAAACATAAACCCACCTTTTGTTCAGCTGCTGCACTTGCCTGTCACGATTTAGGATTGCCCTTTTTGTCTTGCTGCAAACAGAAGCTTTTTGCCTTTGTAGCTCTTTGACTTCTGTCGCAGATGCCTGATTGCAAGGGCTAATCCTGTGTTCAGATCTTGTCTGTGACCCCTCTTCTCTTTCATTTGCAAAGGCAGTGGTTGCTTAGTGGCTCTGTTAATTCAGACAAATGCAGGTCCCAGTCTCTTGCTGCCCTGTCTGCTATGGTTTTGCTTGCAGAAAAAAGGTGTCACAACTGCAGCCTCCTGCCAGCTCTCCCAGATGCGTTCCCAGCATCTTCTGGTGTTTTTTTCCAGGAGAGGAAAGTGTCAGAAAATCCGTCCCTTGTCACGAAGCAAAGCCTGGGGTTACACACAGGGAGGAAGCAGCTTGAAGGAAGGACCAGGCAGGCAGCTTCTAAAGCTTCAGATATGGCAAAATATTTCAAAATGAATGTGAGCATGTGATGCAGTTTTATATTTAACAGGATGGCTTGGAGCACTCAGGATACATTCCATTTTTGCTTTAAAAATATACAAAGCCAGGTGCAGAGAAGAGGAGAAGTGGAGTGGGTGGGAAATGGGGAGACTGAATTGCCTGGAGCACCATGGTGGTGGTGGTGTGATGGGATCCCAGGTCCTGGAGCAAAACCCCATGTATTCAAGGATATGCAAAAGAGATTGTCTCCACCTCAGGGAGCTCATTGCTAAGGCTTAAGATTAAAAGTTGAGCTTTTTTCATTTCTGCTTCATGCTTGTGTGAACTTCATTTTAGGCCCCAAATCTGCTTTTCTTGAAATTGGTCTCAAAATTGCTATTGACTTAAAATGCTGAAAGATCTCACCCATAAATTCTCCTTCTCCCATCTGTAAAACGAGGATGGCAGGATTTCTGTGCCATCTGCGGTGCTGTGAAGCTGAAAACAATCACCATTTATAAAGTGCTTTGAGCTCAAATGGAAGGTTCTGTGTAAAGTCAAGGCTTTGCAGGATGAAATGCTCCTTAATGTGTCAGTTGCATCTGATATCTGAACCAGTGGCTGGGTTGAAAGTTTTGGAAGAACAGCCTGGTGATGCAGAGGTAGTGCTCCAGCTGCTAAATGTGTTGCTTTATTTGTGTTGTTCAAAAGTGCCTGTTCATTGCTACAGAATTAGGGCCCAGAGGAGCCAGTGCTTTCATGTCCACAAAAACCAGTCTCCTACATCTGTGTTCATCTCGAGCATCTCTGACATGTGACCATTCTCAGGGCTGATGTGTCTCTGGCCACCATGTGAGTTAACAACACAGGCATTGCAAATAGGAAACCCAGAGCCACAGGAACAGGTGTTAAGCCTTTCCGAGTGCAATAGGATGCATCTGATGGGAACAAAGGATGTTCCTTTCCATCCAGCTTTGCAGGGCGTAGAAGGGAAGCTGCCTAACCTTTGCCCTGAGAGCTACATTTGCCTTGTATTTGCATAAAGCTGAGGGCCAGACTGGGACAACAATGAGCAGATTGTGGATAAGCACAATGTTGTAAGATTAAATAGCGGGTCCTGGCGAGGAGTGCAAGGCACCCCCCGCAAGGCAGGGCTGAGCCAGCACATGGCCCGGGTCAAGCACTTCTGACAGAGCCACTGGTTTCTCCTTTTGCAGACACAAGCCACCAGACCCGCTCCGTCTCCAGCCGCCCCTACTACAGCCTGCCCAACAGCAGCCATGAGAGGCGCTCGGTCCTCGCCATCACGGAGCCGCCGCGTTTCCACTCCCAAGCCAAAGGCAAGAACGTGCGCCTGGACGTTCACTCCCGCAAGGCCACGCGGAGGAACAGTTTCTGCAACGGGGTCACCTTCACCAACCGGCCCATCCACCTCTACGAGAAGGTGCGGCTGAAGCTGGTGGCTGTGCACCACGGCTGGAGCGGGGCCCTGCGCTTCGGCTTCACCATCCACGACCCGTCGCAGATGAGCTCTGACGAGATACCAAAGTACGCCTGTCCTGACCTGGTGACCCGCCCCGGATACTGGGCCAAAGCTTTGCCAGAGAGGTTTGCTGTGAGGGACAATATCTTGGCCTTCTGGGTTGATCGTCATGGGAGAGTCTTCTACAGTATTAATGACGAGGAGCCAATACTGTTTCACTGTGGTATTAAAGTTTCCGGTCCTCTTTGGGCACTCATAGACGTCTACGGAATTACCCATGAAGTGCAGATACTAGGTAAGTGTGTGTTTGCTCTTCTGGTTGCTCTTTCCACAGAGGCATAATCAGGTAGAAATGATGCATGATCTTGTTGATCATTTCTATGGGACACTTAAGAAAATTGATTTGCTGTTAGTTTTGTACCTCAGATTAACCATTTTCCTTTTGCCAGCACTAGGGATCCAGAAAGCAATATATTTAGAGATGTGATGGAAAGCCCTAAGGCTGCACGTTATAGCAGCCATGTGAAGGGATAAATGGAAATCTTTACCTGTGACTTCACCCAGCTTTCTCTGAGCTGGATGTGCTGCTGTGGCATGGAAAAATGTAGTGCTGCTTACAGCAAAGTCCCAGGGACTGAGCAGACAAAGATGACCAGTGCTGACTTCATTCTTTCCCAACTACCAGTTACTGCCAGTCCATTGAAAACTACCACCAACAGCCCAAGAGTTTCCTGGAGCCCTTCCCCAACCTCTCTCTCTTTGCTTTGGTCCCACCCAGGCTGGCAGTTTAAGGGACTGGATTTGCAGACATGACCTGATTCACCCTTCCCTTACACATGGGCATCACACAGATCACTGCATTCAGGTGGTGTCTGGCTGATTTAAAAGGCATCATCCTTGGGGAGGGCTGAAAGAGGGGAGGAATTTGTTCCCATTAGCAAACCAAGCTGATTGCCATGGAATGACTTTCCTTTTGTGACTTTTATGGCACTGAAATTTCAAATGAATTCAGTGTTAGATGGAAGGTTTTGAACTGGGCCACACCACAGGGAATCCTTTTAAAATACAAGTGTTGCCCTTTCCCAGAGGCTCCTAGGAGCTGATTGAGTTTTAACAGCCAAACTCAGCTGCACCTGCTTGAGGGGATGGTGCTGCCGTCCTGGCACAGAGCAGACACCAATGATAAACTGTGAAATGGTTAGTCCAGTGGGCAGGCAGCTACATCACATATTCTTCTGAATGGTGCCAATTATTTTACAGGCAAGAAGGCTACACATAAACAACACTTTTCCCTGTCTGCTGTGCCTCAAATGTGTAATTAAACCTTACCAGTAGCTTATTCTGTAATTGCAATTGCGATGCACTCCAGCCTCTGGTGCTCATCACAGAGCAGAAGTGTTTGCTGTATTGGCCAGGGCAGCTGCTTCACCAGAGCACTCCTTCTTCCTCATTAGACTGGAGTTAGAAAAATAAAATGCTGCATCTTTCTGCCCCCCCCACCTCCTGTCATGCCTGCAGCATCCAAGTGTGCAGAGTGAAAGACTCAGCCTGGGAGCACCTGTACTCTGATGTTTTCTTTTTTTTATTAAAATACCAAACCCTGCACACTGCCTTGGGAATCAGGGCAATGTTCAGCACAATGATCAGGGCGATGATCTGGAGCACCAGGGGACCTGAACTCCTTGCTAGAGATGTGGTGGTGTCTTAGAGGATGTGCTTGTCTCTGTCTCTTCCTCCCAAAATTTTGTGAGTTGAGAAAGCTGTAAAATATAACTCCAGTTCTGATGCACAAAATGCATCTTTCAGCATTATGAATTGTAGAATCACAGAATGGTTTGTATTGGAAGGGACCTTAATGATCATCCAGTTCCAACCTTCTGCCTTGGGCAGGCACACCTTCCACTCGACCAGGTTGCTCCAAGCCCCATCCATCCTGGCCTCGAACACTTCCAGGGATGGGGCATATCCATCATGAAGCTTGGATGTCTTATTCCTCTTTCTTGCCAGACACCCTGTCCTTGCTAGAAGGAGCTGGTCCAGGCATCAGTCTACCCCAGTAGCCTCTCCTGCTGCTGAGGCAGCCTCTGCTTTGTAGGTGCTGGCTGGATTTGAGTGTTTTTCCTTCTTTGGTAAAAGCCTGGTGATTTTCTCCTTCAAGGAGCAGGCAGTGTTGGTGCTGGGCTTCTTCACCCCCATCTCTGGGAAGACCAGGAGCCTGCTTCATTCACACAGACTCTTTACTTCCACATGCTTCGACTTTGCTCAATGGGTTGAGGCTTTGCCTTCAGAGTCAAGTGTCCAGGCTGCCCTGGGCAGGGCTGGAGGTAGAAGGAAGGACACTCTCAAGCTTCTCCACACCTTTACATCGTTCCCCCAGCCTGGCATGGCCGAAGTGAAAATCTGGAAAATGAATTAAGGATCAACATCCTGACTTTCCCTTTGCTGTGAAAAGGGAAAACAATTCTCTGCCATAAAAATCATTCTAACACCTGCAGGAAGTAGCTTTTGTGACCAGCTCTCCATTCAAAATCTCTGCAGGGCTGAGAACACCCCTGAGACACAAAACTTGAAATCTTCCTTAAAATGACCTCTCAGACACACCTGTGCCTGGACACAGTTATAAGGCAATGACAAAGAGTGTGGAAAGAATATTGTGCTTGTGTTCCTTTGCCCATCGCTGTGTTGTGGATTTGACTGGCACAAGAGCTTTGGACAACAAGATATTGAGATGTTTCCTTCTTTTACAGAGTGATCTCAAAGCTATTAGACCTCTCCACTGAGAAAGCTGTAGGACCACACTGGTTTACAGCTTTCTCCAGTTTGCCAGTGCAGGGAACTCCCAGATCACATGGGTACTTTGAAACACTTGTTTTTCCTTGGCTCGTGCCAAGATGCAGCTATTTGTCTGCCTTCTGCCTGCTCCACACCTGACTCTCCACCAATTACTGGTTGACCTCTGGCTGATTTTTTCCATTCAGGGGGACAGAATCTGTAGGCTGAAATAATAATTATAACCACAGAAGTAGGCAGTTGTATCTTGACTCTAATGCCTGTGTCACTGGGTTTATCTCACAGATAGCATGTTTGCAGAGACCATGACCACTGCCCGGCTCAGCACTGCCCGGCTCAGCACCTGCCTTCCACAGAGCAACCACGACTCAGCCAACTTCAACAACAATGAGCTGGAGAACAACCAAGTGGTGGCTAAAATTGCAAACCTAAACCTAAGCCGGGTACCAGGACTTGCGACAGACAACCACATCATCCCCTGCTGCCCAAACCGGCGGCATCACACGCAGGGGGTCCCGGCCTTCCTGGACACAGACCTGCGGTTCCACCCCACCCGCGGCCCTGACATCACCTTTTCTCAGGACCGGATGGTTGCGTGCACCAACTGGCAAGAAAGCAATAGGACTTTGGTGTTTTCTGACCGGCCTTTGCACATCGGTGAAAGCCTCTTTGTGGAAGTAGGACACCTTGGGTTGCCATACTACGGGGCCCTTTCATTTGGCATCACTTCTTGTGATCCGAGTACTTTACGGACAAATGAGCTCCCGGCAGATCCGGACTTTCTCTTGGACCGCAAGGAGTACTGGGTGGTTTACCGAGCGTTCCCGGTCCTCAACAACGGCGACATTCTCAGCTTCATGGTCTTGCCGAATGGAGAGGTGCACCATGGGGTGAACGGAGCCAGCCGAGGAATGCTGATGTGTGTGGACACCTCACAGTCTCTCTGGGTGTTTTTTACAATCCATGGTGTAATCAACCAGCTCAAAATACTGGGTAAGTGCAGCCAAAAGAAAGGATATCGGGGAGCACCTGGCTTGTGCAGTTCCCTGGTCCAGAACCAGAGCTACAGGTTTGCACTCACAGTGTTCACTGATGTGAGGAAGCAGCTCCTGATCTCACCTTGTGTTTGCAAACAAAAGTGAGTGAGACATGTTGGCTGTCACCTAGATGTGTGCAGCCTATATAAGTCCCTCAGAAATGGATGAGACTCGAGACAAAATAAGCAGCAGGCAGGGATGGCTGTGGGGGGAGGCAGCTGTATTTCAGTGGCTTTGTTTTTAAAGGGGTTCTTTATAAACTCCCTATTCCAGCCAAAAGGTGTTAAATTCCTGCCTTGGTAAGGATGATGATGTTTGTGAGCACAGCTCTGGTTTAAGCACATGTATTGGACAGTAATCGCTCCTCAGGCACTGCCACAGCTCGGGTATCAGCTGGCACTTTTGATCCATTGCTGGATCTATCAGAAGGGACTCTATCAGAAGATCAGACTGATGACTTTGTAAAGCAGGTTTTCCTCATCCAAAGCAAAGCCCTGACCCAGCTGACAGTGAGACAGCGACAGCTTGAGGCCACTGCTGCTGGAGAGATTGGGACTGTGGGAAGTGACTTTATACCCCAAATGTCAGATAACCTGGTTCTTCACTGAAGCACTGAACAGGCATCGTAAAATGGCATAATGAGGTCCAGACCCTGGAGGTCACATCCAAAATCATGCACCTCCAAAGTCACTACATATCATTACTAAGGGGCAGCACTTAACTCAGAAGCTGGGCTTTACCCTGCAGCACCCTGTGTGTGTGGTTTGGGGTTTAGCTGGGGTTGGGGTGTCTCTTGCCCATGGTGAGCTCAACTCAGCTCTCTCCTGTGTTCTCAGGCACGGTGCAGTCCAGCCCGGTGACCGTCTCGCCCTCAGGATCCCCCGGTGGCTCCCAGTACGACAGTGACTCGGACATGGCCTTCAGCGTGAACAGGTCGTCATCGGCTTCAGAGTCATCGCTGGGTAAGGACAGCCTGGCCCTCAGCTCCCACCACAGCAAGACAGGAATCCAGCGTGAGATGGGGCTGGGGCTGTGCAAGACAGCAGGGCAAGGTTAGGGGGAGATGTTACATTTCTTCCTAGACTGACAGAAAGAACTGTAGGAAAACACCAAGTGGTGGAAAGATTTTCATTGCCTAAAGAAAGTCTGCATGTTGCTTGTATCAGCAATAGCATGGCCAGCAGGACCAGGGCAGTGACTGTCCCCCTGTACTGTGCACTGGTAAGGCCACACCTCAAATCCTGGGTTCAGTTCTGGTCCCCTCATGACAAGAAAGTCATTGAGGTGCTGGAGCGTGTCCAGAGAAGGGCAACGGAGCTGGGGAAGGATCTGGAGCACAAGGAGCAGCTAAGGGAGATGGGGGGGCTCAGCCTGGAGAAAAGGAGGCTCAGAGGGGACCTTCTCACTTTCTACAACTCCCTGATGGAAGGGTGGAGCCACGTGGGGGTTGGTCTGTCTTGTAAGTATCAAATAACAAGAGGAAATGGCCTCAAATTGCACCAAGAATGTTTTAGACTGGATATTAGGAAAAATTTATTAACTGAAAGGGTGGTCAGGCATTGAACAGGCTGCCCAGGGAAGTGGTGGAATCACCATCCCTAGAACTGTTCAAAAAATGTACGGATGTGTAAAAAAGGGATAACAGGCTCTGCCTGGAACTGTAACTGTGCTACTGGTTGGAATACACCAGGGTTGCTTGCCCAAACCAACCAGGCAGTGACTAAGGCAGGAAGAGCCTTAAAAACTGACTTGAGCATGTGTGTTGATCAGTGTCAGGTTTGCACCGCTGTGTCAACTGAATTATTCCTTCCTCCTCTTTTGCAGTGACTGCTCCAAGCTCCCCCTTGAGCCCCCCCATCTCTCCTGTCTTCCCCCCTCCGGAGCCATCCAGCAGCAAGAACGGGGAATGCACCGTTTGCTTCGACAGCGAGGTGGACACGGTGATCTACACCTGCGGACACATGTGCCTCTGCAACACCTGCGGTCTTAAGCTGAAGAAGCAGCTCAACGCCTGCTGCCCAATCTGCCGACGGGTCATCAAAGATGTTATTAAAATATACCGCCCTTAGCGCCCGCCTCGGGCTGTAGGAAGGGGAACGCCGCTAGCAGTAACCACGCCTTTCCGTCCCTGCTTATGGGTTATCGTGCTGGTCAGTCGTTATCAAGTGGCTCGTTATCTGTGTTTCCTTATTTGACAGGTAGGGCACAATTCAGGGATAAAATTGAGCTGAGGATCATGTAGGGCCCAAAGGCATGGCCAGGCTGTGTGCCCACAGGCGAATCCGGGGAATCACGGTCTGCACCCGACCCAGCTGCAAATGAGAAATTTCCCCTGCAAAGGTTCTTTTTTCCCTCTTCCTGCTCCGGAGGAGGCTTGCTATGGTGTGGACCTGCAAGGGGAGGTTGCCATTTGGTCAATGCCAGGTGCCACTGGGCTTTCTGACCCCAAAACCTGAACAGCTCTGGGATGCTGCCAGATGCTTGTGCTGTGGTGGAACAAAATTAGGATAAGGCCCAGCGGGAGGGTTCAAAGTGGACAAAACTGATCTGGAAACGTCCTGCTTATCTGTATAAGGAGAACTAGCTAAAGCCAAATAGTAGCACAGCCAGATTCTCACTTGTTTGGGTTCTGTCCCCGTGAACAGGTTTCTGGGGTACATGGAGAAGCCAGTCTGGACATAGATAAAGCAGCTTTTGCTTTCTGTGGCAGAGCAGAGACTTTTGGCCAGGGAGGCTGAGACCTGGAGAGCTGCCATGGGGTAGCAGTGAGGAGCACAAGCCCACTGAGAGCCCAGCCAGCCCCAGCAGTGGGCAGCTATGAGGGGTGACTCAGGCCTGATGAAGCCATAATTTCCAGCCCGTGGATGAGAGGAGTGTTTGGATGGGAACACTGCAATCCTGGCTGTGATGGTGTTTGCCATCTCCAGGCACACACACCTGCATTTTGCTCTGCCCTCTTGGCAGGTGGCACAGCTGCCATGTTACCCCATCCTGCCTGGCTAGACCTGTCCTAGACCTTCCCCCGCAGCCAGTGCCATGGCAGGGCTCAGCTTTCCTCCTGCCCCACCATGGGGACTTTTTGGAACCTGTGGTGAGAAATTAATTTCTGACCCAGTCCCAGCAGGCTCACCTTTTTTCTGAGGACTGTGTATGTGCTGATCTTACCTGCTCTTTCTCCTGCCTTTCCTGGTTTTCCAGCACAGCTGGGTCTCAACTGTAGATGAGAACTTGTTGAGAAAAACAGGGATCTATCTCACTTGGCTTTACTTAGGAGTAGGAAAGAAAAAGGCTCTGGGGCTATTAGTAGATGTTGGGACTTAAAAGGTAAATGGGTTTCAGGTGTGATGTTACAGCTACAGGCAGCAGCTGGATGAGCTGAGCAGCATTTGAGTGAGCAGCACCGGGACTGGTGTGAGGAGCTTAGTGTCCTCCTCCCTGCTGCTCCATTAGGAGTTACCCTCCATTCTCTGTCCTCTGCCTTCTGCCCACTTGCAGAGGGCAGCCCCTGGACAGCCCCTGTCCAGTCCTTCAGCCTGAGCCTGACCAGCTTCCAGCTGGTCCAAGAGGGAAAAAGGGAGAGGATGCAAATGGGAGGATGAGAGAGGGGCTGGTATTGCAGCTAGGTGACCATGTGCTACCAAGTGCATAAGAACGGCTTTTTCAGAAAGGTGCAATTTTAGTCTGAAAAAGAAAAAGCAGAATAGCAACTCCTGTACATTTCAGGGCTTCTGGGCACAGAGGGGCAGCCTGAGGTTGTCAGTGCCTGTCACCTCGCCTGGCCATTTCCTCTCTCCTCCAAGGTGCAGGTAGCTGTGGGTGCACAGCCCTCTCCTGGTGCTGCTGCCCAGGTGGTGGTTTGGCTGTGCCAGGAGAGCTGTGTTTGGTTACTGACCAGCAGCCAGCCCTGTGCTGCCATTGTGGAGAGCACACCCAGGAGAGCAGTTCATTCTCCTCCTGCAGCGGGCTGTGCCTGCCAGTTCACAGAGCACGGGGAAACCTTTTGTTTTTAATTTTAAGAACTGATGAACATTTTAATTAAGTGTATAAATGAGAGGCTGCTCTAGAGTGAGATCTCTCAACCATTGCCCTGCTGCATCAGCACAAGGGCCCACTGACTTTGCAGAGCCCTTTTTGGAAACCTGGCTGATGGCGCTGGCTGTGCCACTGCTGAGTGTGCTCAGCCCTCAGCAGAGCCACTCACACTGCGACTGTGGCACGAGTTCACTCACACCTTTACTGAAGGAGGTAGCAAGGGCAGCTTCCCTGCGTTTGGAGCCTTGCCTGGACCTCCTGGCTGCCCTCTGCCCAGGCATTGCCTTCCTAGAGACCTCCCGGGTGCCACACTGGCAGATCAGAGTCCGGCTGCAGTGGGTGGGCACAGCACCAAGGGCACGACGATGGCAGGGTATGTCAGCATGGGATGAAGGGCCAGGCAGGTCAGTGCCTGCCTGGGGACAGGCTGCAGTGGGAAGCCTTTGCATCTTGAGGAATTCAAGGAAAGCTGTCAGAATCCACTCACTGCGAGCGATGCCAGCCTGGATCAGATCTGGGCTTGTGAGCACCAGTGGCCATTCCCAGGGCTGCTGTCCCGGTTTCAGGGGTGCCCAGTCCCTTTGGTCACTGCACAGCCACACCAGCAGAGCAGAGTCCGTTTGCTTGGCTGACACCTCAGGTCCTCAGTGAGCAGGATTGGTGCACACCTGGGGTGGGGTTTATTTTGGTTTAGCTCTCTTTTGTATTTTTAAGCCAGCAAGGAGAAATACCAAATCCACCCCAGGCTGGGCCTGAGCTGTTCAGGACACATTGCAGAGGCTGAATTTTTGCTGTAGCAGCCAAGACCAGTTTCCAGAAGGGCAGCACCCAGTGATGCCAGCAAGGGAACCAGCTCAGACAGCGTCTGGAGCACGGCTGAGCAGCAAACAGGACGTGAGAGCAGTGGATGTGCCACCCTGCCTATCTGAGAGCAATGGGAATTTTCCAAAATAGGCCTCAAAAAAAAAATGTCCGGGAAAAGGTAGCCTCTTTCAGATTTAATTGTTAGTATTCGTATTGCTATTTTTTTTAAACAGTCCAATGATATATTATTTGTACAGAAGATCTGTTTGTGCCTTATAAGGGTGTCTGTGCACTTTTTATCCTTTTTAAAGCAACTTTTAAAAAGAAAAAAAAAAAAGATGGGGGAGAAAACAGCACAGATCAATGGTAGTTTTTTAGAATTTTGTGTTCACTGAGAATCCTGCTTTATATATATATATATGTGTGTGTGTGTATACATATATATATATATACTGGAGTGAAAAAGTGTTTATTTCCATGGATTTTTTTCCCCCTCTCCTCCTTAACCTCTTTGTTTAAAAATTTTAAAAAAAGGAAGAAAGGAAGGAAGAAAGAGATGAGATTGGGGAACTCTTTTACCTTCCCCCTTTCTGAGACAGTTACTCTCTTGTCGTTACCTTTATGATTCAATACTGTGACCTGTACATCTTGTTTAAGCTGAATCAGATTTTGGACCTCTGTATTAGGCTTTTCAAGCAAATCATCTGGGGGACCGGGGGAGGGAGGGCATCGCACGAGGGGGGGAACTGCACTTCTACATGTCAGTACTCTATAGCGTTGTGTTCAGTGCTGTGTGTTTTACTTTTGTCCATTTACCTGTTTTACATTAATATAATTTTACTTGTTTATGAAACAAATAAAACTTTGGCTTGTACAGAGTGCTCCAGAATGTTTAAAAGAGCTTGAGCCGGGGAGTGATTTGCAGAGCATGGCAATACTGATCCAGAGAGGAAGGGTCAGGGCAGCTCTCTTCATCTGCTTAAAAAAAAAAAAAAAGACACTTTACATACCTCTCATGAGCTGTGTTTTGCTTCTGGGAGTCACAGCCCAGTGGCTGCTCAGTCCCTTGATGGGCTGGGAAGCGTAAGAGGGTTTTCTGGCTACCTTAACTTTGCAAACACTAGAAAGTTTGGCAGGCAGGGTGTATTTTAGGGCTACAGAGGTGAAAGGGTTCAGTGGTAGATGCCATCAGGAAGTGCCCCGAATTTCTTACCCAATCTCAAGCAAGGCAGCTGCCAGCCTGATCCCTCTCCTGTGCCTGTGCTGGGGCTGTGGCAGCCTGGGGACTGTGGGTGGCCAGAGAGGGGTGATGCAAACACAGCAGAAGGGCTGGCCTGGCTCTTTATTTCACAAGCAGAGGCCAACAGAAGGCTGCTCTGTAAACTGTTTATATCCCGAAATGTGGCCTGCTGAAGCCAGATACCAGTCAGGCAGCCTCAGATGTGGTTTAATGTGGAGTGGAAAAATTCATTCATAACTCTGCCCTGGCAAGCACACAGCCAGAGTTAAGTGTTCACACGAAACCCTTCATTCGCTACAGGTGGTGAGGGAGTCTGACAGTGGCTATTTATACTAAAATGCCTTTTTTATACACTCTGTTGCCCCACTTTATCCACAGAGCTGATCCTTCTGAGATGCCAACAGGCCAATGCTGCCAGTCTCAGGCCATGGAGCAGCTCTGCACCACAGATGTGATGACCTTTTCCAGCCTCTGCTGGCCCAAACCCCAGGGAGAGCGTGGAGAACCACTACCCACTCCCACCCCCTGCACCTGGGTGCTGTGACACAGGTATCAGCTGAAACTGAGCCTCCCACGGCCAAAGCCCAGCTCTGTGCCAGCACAGCAGATCTGGGCAGCAGCTGGCACTGCTCAGTGCCCAAGATGGGCTGGGCCCCACATGGCCATGCTAATGCAGTACTCCAGGTTATGTCACAGGCCCCGAATTTCTCCTTGGTGCACTCACCTGCTGCAGGGTGGCAAGTGGCAGCATCAGGGCGGGTGCTGGGGTGCTGATGGACAAGCCCTGGATGGAGTGTGGGTGGGCAGACACCTGGTCATGGCATGGGGCACGTGCTGCAGGCAGCTGAGTGAACACAGCCATCAGGTGAAGCAAGGTGGGCCCTGATGCTACATGATTGATAACATTATTTGAATGAGATTAAATTCTTCCCCATCCTCTGATTATACTGATAGGGGAATCAGTTCCCAAGTTTGAAGAAGTGGAGTGAAATAGGTCTGATTGTTCCAGGACTTACTCCTACAAGTGGCTGGGACTATTCTTTTGTTTCAACAGAAGCAAAGGAGAGAATTCCTTGGCACTCTTTGCTGCCAATCCAGAGGCACCGGGCTGGTACCTGCTGCCTGCACAGCCCTGCTGGGGGTCCTTGGCACCTGACAGCTGAGGGTGTGCATGGACAGGGCTTGCATGTCCCAAGCTGGCAGGTGGTCAGCTGGGCCAGTACAAGCTGCTCATCCATGTCTTTTTTCCCCTCACTTCTTTCCCACTCCTTATGAAGCACTGCCTGTGTGCAACACCATAGCCTTCTGTCAGGCACTTGGGCTTTGGAGTCCAATCCTTCTTTTCCCTGAGCCTTGCAGCTCCATTCCCTGGCCAGCCTGAACCCCCGAGAGCCCCTCCAGAGGTTGGGTAGTCCCTCTCTCTCTCCCTCCCCCCACTTCCCCAAAATCACCAGACTCTGCTGCCTTGAGGTCACAGTAACACAACTGCTGCACTACACCAGCTCATTTGCTGGGACACCCATCAAAGTTTGGGCAAGACCCAAGGATCTGCCAGGGTACCCATAACCCTCACCACTCCCAGGCACTGCTGTATGTGGGAGCACAGCCACAGCTGCCAGGGCAGGAGAGCAGCACACCACGTTGCACCCCAGAATTACACCAGCCTCACACAGGTTCACTAAGGTGCTTGAAACCAGTCAAGCAGTTTCTTTTTATTTCTTAAAAAAAAGAAAACAACCCTCCCTTACCCCCCCCCAAAAAAAAATCCTAAACCCACCAAATAAAATAAAAAAAAAAAATCCATCCCATAAAGGTGAAAGTATAGATAGGCATGTACACAGCTACATCTACCTTCTGCTGCCCCCCACCCACCCACAGTAATGTAGATTTATATGCACTTACATAATATAGCGAGACATGGACAAACAAATGGGTTTTGGGAGGTTTAGGGAGCCTGTGAGGAGCAGGGCACAGCAGGGCTGACAGCCTGCTGGGGATGTGCCAAACTGTGGCGTGTCCCCAACACCTGGCTCGTGGGCCCCAAGCCATGGCAATGCCCCCCCTTGTCACAAACCCTGACCCTGGCACTGCAGTGGGTGGTTGGGCATTGGCTGATGGGGTGATGCACCCCGTGGCCAAGCTCGGGGTACTCGTGGTTGCCCTCCTCCTCCTCACGAGGTAGTCGGGGAGCTCGGCCGCATGTGACGTGCAAAGTACAGAGAGGCACAGCCTGGCTTGGGGCACACATGGCTGAACTGAGGGACAGGTATCAGATGGGGGGCAGAGCCCTGCCAGCCCAATGGCTCTTGGTATCTTCCTGACTGGAGTTGTCCAGCCTACAGTCCCTTCGCAGACAGAAGAGTGGTAGGAAGGGGTAAGGCTGCAGGTGTCAGCACATACTGAGT